CTGTCAAAGGGGTTGGGGGGTGTTTTTGAGAGGGATTTCTTTTCCTAAATTATTTTATGCCCTGTCATGCAGATATGAAAACTTACTAGCAGATGTCACTGTTGACTTATTTTTTCATGGGTTGTAGCTTCAAAATTCAGTCCTAGAAATACATCTGGGTCCCATGGACTCAGCTGTCCCCATTTAGGTTTATTTGACTTAAGGAGGCAAAAAATTTTTCTTTCTCTTTTTTTTTTTTTCTTTCCCCTGGACTTTATTCCAATATGGAAGAGAAAGGAAGGCGAGAAGCGATAGTGTCTGTCAGTAGCCACAGGTGCCACCGCTGCCCTGTGCTGGGGACAGTGGCAGGAGAAGGCTCCGTGCTTGTGGGCTGCTTTTAAAATGCATGGGAGGATGCTGCTCACACTGCTTCTTTCGCAAATGAAAACAGGGAAGACAGGGCACCCCCCAGTGCCAAGGCAAATGGCAGGGATCATCCAGGTCTTACTAACTGGCTGCTCTGCTTCATGAGACTTAATGTATTTCCTCCCTCTGGCTGTGGGCGCTCCCCTGCCCTCTGTTCACTGGTGTGAGAAAGACCGTGTCATGCTATCCTTGCCAGACATACGAGAGCAGGAAGAGGGTGGGAGAAGATCAAGGGAGATCTTTACCCTTTTTATATTGCGTGGTGTGTGTTGGACGTTAGAAGCTAGAAAAATAGAACTGCTCATCAATAAACAGATAGGAGAAGAAATTACTTATTTCATCACTCTGGTAGGTGATAAGCCTGCAGCCATTTATCAAGTGTCCACTAGAAATAAATGTCTGTTGTCGTTTTCTCACTTTTAATAGCGTCATACCTCTCTGTAATTTTAGCTGTTCATCTCAACTGCTATCTTTTTTTTTTTTTTTTTTTTACTGCAAGAGTGAGTTTAGAGGAGAAAGGAAGATTTAACAAGGCTTCCCAAAAAAAAGGACAAGCCAGCAAGATGATTATAAAGAACACCAAATTAATTATTTAGATTCATAAAAGCAGAAGCATCCCACTTGCTTAGAGCAGAACAAACACCAAGCAGTCTCACTTGGATTTACAGTAGCTTTGAATCTGAGTTTGCTTTTACAGCAACACCAGCAGCATTCTCCCAGCTTGTTAACCCAAAGCCTCTACTACATTTTTTTAATCACCCATTAGGAGACTCCCTGTCCCTCTTGTGTGTACCAGGTAGAGGAAGGGAAGTCTCTATTTCCTTGTCAGCAGTAAATCTTTCTTATAACTCCTGAAAGCATGAGCTGAAGTTCTTCAGTCCTTCAGCATGGCTGGTAGGCAACCTACTGGAAGCTTTACTTCAGGGAAGGAACGTTTTTACACAATTTGGTGAGACAGTGAATAATACCATCTCTCGATTAGCACCTGCTCTATCCTGATAGCAAATGACATTATTCTAGGCTACTCCCACACTTCCAGCTTTCAATGTGACTATGCCTAATTATACTGCATGGGTTATCAGCAGCAGAGCTGGAGCTTTTGGTTGTCAAGTTGGGGGTAATTGGAGTCTGAGGTTTCTGGAAAGACATGGCAGAGGGTTTGAGGTAGGAGGTCAACAACCTTCTACAGGTACACAGGTTTATTTACCTGGAGGTTTATCTAGACAACCAGAAAAAAGATGGTAAGTGGTTCAGCTGCCACACTGGTGGTAGCATGGGGTGGCCCAAGGTTCATGGGGTGGCCTCTTCCTGTCCAGAGCTGTAAGTTTCTCTCAAGGGTACGTATGGACTGAGGGGGCGTCTCTATCTTTTACACTCACATTCATGTTTTGACATTTTCTCCATTCTTCTCTTTCTCGCAAGGAGGCTTAGACACTCAATGCCTGGGCCATAGTGAAGAAAGGAGGCACTAAGCCAAAAATCTTACATTACAGCTTTTTAAAATGCAGACCAAATCTTCTTACATTTGCATTGAAGATAGATGAGAATCTTACCATGTATGTGATCCTGCACGATAGATTATTTCTAGACTGGGGTAAATTCATATTATTCCTAATGTGACATACTTTGGAAAGGAAGGAAATCCCTGCAGGCTGCACTGGTATGGGGTGGGCACTGCAGTAACACATCTGTCACTGTGCTGCTGTATTAAAGCCCTGGCTGTAACCATTCTGCTCCTGCCCAAGAACCTCTTCTAGCTGGGCTGTTCTTCCTTCTTCCTTGGATACTCTACTCCTGGCCAACCAGTGGCACAGCTCTCTGTCTTGTAGCCTGGCAATAGACATTTTCCCGTGAGAGGGAACGTGCAGGCTGGAATCCTCCTCCCAGGCAGGGACTGGCCTCAAGCTCTGCTCTTGCCTGCCTGAGAGCTCTTTTCTTCTCACCAGCTGGCCTGCTAGAGCAGCCTCCCTTCCCTGCCATGGTTTCAAAAGAAAGCAGCCTCACAAAGTGTTGCTTGGGCATACCTGCGAGATCTGAGTTTTGGCACATTCTGGACTCTCTCTGAATGACAGATATTTTTTTACAGGAGGAGGTGCTGGTCTTCTCCAGAGTAGGAGTCCCTAATCCATTTAAATGCCCAGTAAAAGCTGCAGTTCAAATCAGAAGTGATGATTTATTTTACCCATTTAAACCCAATTATCCCAGTGCCTGAGATCCTTGCAGTAGCAGGGAACTGCTGAGGTGAGATACATCTGGCTCATGCCAGCAAAAAGTCCAATCCTTTTTTTTATTTTGTTTTGGGGGTTTTTTTAGGGTTCTTTAGGTTTGATTTTTTTTTTTTTTGCATAGGAAGTAACAGGTAAAAATCAAATTCTCTGACAATCCCAAATTTGCCTACACAAATCCAACATTCACTGGGGATATCCACACATAAACAACATATACTGAATAAGCATTTAAAAAGGAGGGCTTTCTGCAGCACCTTTTTAAACGGACCCATCTCCTCCAACTTGGAGAACCATACCTGGCCTCAGAGTTATTTACATGTTGTGAACTTGTAATCATCTCTGAGATGAGAAAGTATCTCAGCTCTGAAGTGAAGGTGAAATTCCATCACTTCTTGTGATCCAAATATTTTGAAATAGGGAAGAAATTCCTTCTTAGCCTTTCAAAGCAGATCACAAGATGTAATTACAGTAATTTTCCTGCACAGCTGCAAACACAGGCACATGGAAGGTACGTGGGCAGTCCTGTATGGCTGCATGGCTAACAAGGGAAGGAGGATTTGTAGATCCTCAACTTTCAAAGCCTGAAACAGTTCCAGCCCTGAATACAGCTGTGGCAACTGTCAGATACGTGACAAAAAAGATCCCAACCCATCATTGTCTTTCTAGTCACAGTAGGCCATAATACTTTTCTCAGAAGGTTATCCACTCTTCAATTAGCGCCCCAGTTAGGAAATTGCGTCCTGTTTTTCACCTGAATCTGCCTGAAAACATCCTTCGGGCACTGAATTTTTCTTTTCTTTTGGTCAGTAGCACAGGACGTTCACCCTGGTTTTAGGTATCCGGTCTGCATGCAAGTAACTGTACTCAGCCCTTGAGTCATCTCTCATCCTTGTCAGTGAGCTAAGCTGAGCTCCTCAAGCTTCGAATCATGACTTGTTTTCCTGTCCCTGGAGATACTTGTGACCCTCTTTTGAACTCTCTCCCCCTCTCTGTCCTCATGATTTCCATCCATATCCTTTCTGAGGTGTGGACAACAACGTATGAATAGCCATGAACGGTCAGACCAAAGGTGTGTCTGGCCTAGTGTCCTGCCTCTGGCAGCACTTCCCACAGATGCCACGGGAAGGTTAACAACAGGGAAAATAAGGTGCTGCTTTCTTCCCTGCTACCTGTTCTGGCATCCAAGCTATCTGCATCTCATTGTGCTGTACACATAGGCTCTTAACCTGAACCAGGATTGCTTCCCATTTTCTGCTTGATGTTCCTGGTTGCATGGATCCGGGGGCCACCTTCGCGTATTTCTTGCCATTGCTCACGTTGAGTCTCTGCCTGTGAAAAATTTTAAGTCCTCCATGGAGCTGCAGCTTTCCAGGCAGTTTACTAGCTCTAGCAAACAAAACTCGCATAATTAAAATATATATTTAAATGTATAGTCAGCCCTTGGCTTTTTTAAGACTTTATCTGCAGAGAAGGCTTTAAAAAATAAACCCAACATTGACTCTTTCTAAAAGAAAACTGAGCTTCCCTCATAATAGCATAATTACTCCAGGTGCTAGGGCATTTAAAAATAACAGCAACATTTACAGAGGGAGGAATGAGTTGGCAGTACTGCCACCACCTTCGTTTGCTAGGACTTCTAAATGAATGTGAGAGCAATCTTACCACGTTTGCATCTCCAGGTGTGCGGGTGTTGCCACACCCCCACCCATTCGCCCTGGTACACGCAACCCCCCACCATCCTGCTCTCCTTCGTGCAGTCTCACCCCTGAATCCTGTCTGCTCCTCAGCGTCGCAGGCACAGGCACTCACTTCCCAGCTTCCTTCATCTACAGCCGTTCCCTGCACACCCCCCTGCGCGCCTCGTCCACACGTACATATCCCAAAGTCAGCGCACACCCACCGGACCCCACATTTGCACGTGGCATCACTTAGTACTTTATCCTGGCGATGGGACAAGACAAAGGAGGTCCCTGTTGTTCAGGCACTTAAGGTGCCCGAGTCCTTTTGAGGGGGGAAAATCAGCAAAATGCCTTCAGCAGGTTGCTGGGGTTTAGGAGCTGGCAGTGAGCTAAGAATGGGTCTGAGCTGCTCTTTCCCAAATCGAGTGGTTGTGATGGATTATATTTATACCCCCACAGCCTTTGACAAACCATCCCACACATCTGTTATATTAGAAGGCTTCAACCTAATATTTTTTTGAGCTGGGCATATGGGAACATGATTACATCATCTTTATTTGTTTTTCTCCATTCACTCTCACTCCTCCATTCTTCCCTCTCCTCACCATTTATCATTTAAGGATACACTAAAATATTACATGCTGGTGTTTTTACTGATCACAACCTTTTTCTCCCCCTCTGCCGACAGATGCTTACCCCAATTCTGAAGTCATCTATGTCTGGACTAATAGCACCACAACGTCTGTGGTGGTGGCCGAAGACGGTTCACGACTTAACCAGTACCACTTGATGGGACAGACCGTGGGAACTGAAAACATCAGCACCAGCACAGGTAGGGAGAGTATTTCCGCTGCTTGCTGGTAGCTGGAGCAGGAGGAGAGATCTCCTGGCTCCGGTTATTTTGCAGGGAAGCATCTGTGGGATGCGGGGTGCTAGGGACGGCTTGTGCGGGTTCCTGGTGAGCCGGCACTGGAGCACGGAGAGGGTTGCACCCCAAGGCTGTTGCTGAGGATGCATCCAAGCTCCTGCTAGGGAGCGGGAGCGCTGGAGGAGCCGCACGCAGCGTCTTGGCGACCGCCTTTGCTGGGGCTGCCAGCGCTGCTCCCGGCTTAGCTCCCCGTGGGAGGAACCACCCGGGCAGGCAAACACCCCCCACGCCTTTCATCCGCCTCAACCACCGCTTTAAAATTATTTGCCGCGGCGGGAGGGAGCGGAGGGCGGCGGGGGAGGCCGTGGCGG